GAGGCAATTTTGTCTGCTTGTACCTGTGTGCTAGACTGCTGACACTACTTGTATACCATAAATAGTACTAAGATGTGTACTCGAGAATGTAAAACATTAAGGAGTGAGCAGATAGCCTTAGGAAGCAATGCATTTAGTATAATATTACACTGGATTTAAGGCTATCATAAATGTATATGGGGCAACATTGTTGCATGCAATGTTGTGGCTACTTCGATCTTAAAACAACTTTGTTGCCTCAATTAAAGCAGTGGTCAAATCGAGGCAACAAAAATTAAATTAACTATAAAGTTTTAAGCATGCACCCCATCTATGATAGTGACCATGATAGCATTCAGAGGTTTATCACTCGATAAAGTTCAACTATCATGAATAATAATTTTAGAAAGACTTTGCAAAAATTTATAGCACATGAAAAAAATATGCCCTGTTGTATTGATTGATTTTTCTCTCTGGTAGTCCTGTGTTAGTACCTGGTAGTGAGTTATTGTCATTTCAAGGATACAAGACCAGTTGGTTGTGGTATGACATGATTGGGCTAGGAGGACTGGCTCTTCTATTCCTAACACTAACATACATTACACTGAGACTAATTAAGAAAGAAAAATAATTAAATAATAATAACAACAATAATAATAATAATGATAGTTGTTGCCTGTCTTTGTTGTCTTGGTTTAATAATGATGACTTCTATTTTTAGCTCAAGGTATGCACGTTATGGAAAAATAATATTGTGAAATTTTGAAAAAAAAATTTGTTTAAAAATAGCAAAAAATTTTTAAAATACAAAACACATTAGAGCAGCCAAAATAAATGAGCCACTCTCTTTCCTACGTCTGGAAACTGACAAACGACCATCTCTATAAGGAGGACACCATAACTGAAGACATCCATTGCAGGAGAGTGTTCCCTTGGATTGCCTGCTTCAGGTGCTGAATAGACAGGATTGCGTGTGCTGGTAAGTGGCTGAAGACTAACTGTACCATAATTTGATTGACTGTGGTAGAACAGTTAGTGAATTGTGTGATATATTGAGAGACTGTAAGTTAGTCAATTGTCCAATGTCTACAGGTAAACACTGTAGTTTATTATAACTGAGGGAGAGATAAAGGAAACAAAGAATGAACTAAATACAAAACAGAATAAGTGATGGATATTGGTATCTCAAAAAGTTTGTGTCGCTAAATTGTGTAAATTTAAATTAAATTTGGCAAAAAAATAATGTAGTAAATAAACTAGCATATCAGCTAAAAAGAAAAAATTAAAACAATTTTTGTCAATTAATAAAATTTCGCACTTGATAGATAAATACATGTATGGATGGAGAGAGATATACATGTACATATGGTAGAGAGTGGATACAATATTTACCTTGCAAATATTTTAGATAGTTTATCCAGTTTGATCACATTATTAGGTAGACATGTTAACTCATTGTACTGGACCTATAATAACAATAACACACAACATGTAAACATAATTATGAGTCTTTATACAAAAATAAAAAACAAACTAAACTACATGTATAAACAAATGTACAACATTCAAGGGAGTTGTCTCAAACCATCCAGTATACCATGCTATTACAACTTAATTGATACATACATGTACAGTAAGCATGTATTTGATATTAAAAATCTTATATTTTCATTCTCACCTCA